GTCCCCCTAGAAATGGATAACAGATATTTTTAAATGAAGCCATTGGTAATTGAAAATATGTAGGTAATTAAGTATACACAGATGTCTAATCATAAAATTCCTTGTTGTGCATATAGTGTCCAAATCTCTCAGTATCCCCCCAGAGTTTCCATAACCTCAAGCAGGGCGTGTCACGTGCCCAAATTTTCTACCACCAGGTTGGCTGTGTCAGGATCTCTCATTGGGCATTGGAGTGCAAGGATTCTCTTAAAATGCTACAGCATATCCTGGATACCCAAGAGGAGCTGAGTATTTGCCGTGATAAGCTTTAAGATCCTCCAGCCCCAGTCTGCAAACAAGACTGTATGAGCTGGTAAGGGAGGAGCTGCTTGGAACCACTTTAGAGCTTTATGTGACCCTAACTTGTGATTGTGCTACTTTTTTAAAGTACTGCTACAGCCTGGAAAACTGGTTTTCTGTGTGTGAAGAAAATGATTACTGGCTCAAAACAACTAAAGTCTGTGGTGGGGGGAGAGAGGATCAGGGGGGACAGGAGAGAGAGAGAGGGGGACAGAGAGAGAGAGAGAAAAGGGACAGAGAAAGATTAATAATCACCACTTGAATTCCAGCGCTATCTCAGCTACTATAAAATCTAAACGGTGGGCTGAGACCACATGTATACCTCTGCAATTGCATTTATCTGCTCTGGTCTTGCAGGGCCTTCCCGACAGGTGGGGCTTTTGGTGTGCCAGGGGCTAATAGCCCTTCTGGGGCTGGATTAGAGGCTCCAGGGCCGGGGGCTGTGGAGTGCCATCCCACCTACACTGAACTTGACCTATGCCCCTCCACACACACACACTTTTTTGAGCCAGCAATCATTTTCTCCAAGTCTCTCAGATTATGACATGAGAGTTTTCAGATGAGGAAAAATATGAGGCCTAAAAAACTCTCAAGCAGATGGGCAAGAGGAGCACCCAGCTTAAAATTAAACACAGATGCCTCAAAAAGCTGGCTTGCGAAGGAGGCACTGAAAGGCAATGCTTTCAGTGAAAATTTATTTGTAGTCTTCAGTCAGGTGAATGTAGGAGAAAGCACTGAGGAAATGGAAAGAACAATCATCTGCCCAGGAGGTCATGTTTATACCTCTAAGATTTTCTTCATTTTCTCTCAGAAATTTTGCCAAGTTTGGCAGAATGCACACATCTATACAGTCTAAAACCTCTCAGGCTTTGCACACATTGTGACCTGGGCTGTGTCACAAGCCCTTCTGAAAGCCTCAATTCACTTTAAGCCAGAGATCCTGCCTTGGATGCTTTTAAACAGCTTGATATGTAGGTACCATGAAAGTTCAGCTTCTCAGGAAGATTTAACCATCTTTACCAGTCTGACTGCTATGCTGTGCTATGCATATTCATTGATTAGTATCCTTAGAAATTAGCTGGAAGTCATAATTAAGACAAGTCAGCATTACTAGCAGCTAATTGTACATGTACTTTAGATCCAATTACTCTGTAATGACTGAATGGCAAAGAGATATTGGCAGCTGAAACTGCATCGAATGGCTTTCTTCCAGGCAGAGCCAAAGGCACAGGGTAAATTTAGAAAAAGATCCCGTAACATTTAACTTCTCATAATTAACAGGGAGGGGAGGGAAAAAAAATACATCAAACACACACACACAAAAAAATTACATAAAAGAAAAAAATCCACCAAAATTCCTAGGTAACACTTTTACGTAACATTGTAAGTACGAGAGGTGATTGCAAAAGCCAGCTACTTTTTAAAACCCGGGACTCCAATTTTCCCTGAACAACCTCTCGGCTCAGCAAGGCACCCCTCGAGCTACAGTCACTTGTTAACATACAGCTCTTGGTGCTGAGGTGCACCACAAAGGAAGGGATGGCATTTCCTTTTCAAAGATGTAGGTGAATTCCTGGGATCCAAAAAAGGCCTGTAGAAAAAGCTTAGCAGCAGGAGAGTTCTGTAGCTTGCGCTGGGAAGAGAGAACGAGCTACAGAAGCATAAAACTGACTGCAGCTACTGCACTTTTATAACCATGTTGGATCATCATCAATATGGTATTTAGAAAATATCAAAGCTTTGGTTTAGATCACAACACCGTAGACATTCTTGTTACAGGGAATGTAAAAGAGGATCCAAACTCTCTCTTGATAAAGTCAAACCTTTGTTGGAAAAGGTGTTTTATCCATTTGGGTCTTTGCACTTCAAGGAAAAAATTATTTCAAAAGTTCCTTTGAATAAAAACGAAACAAGAAAGGAAATGTAAACAGAATTGGTGTCAATTGTTGACATGCTCCCCAACAGCTCCTTGGCAAAAAGACAACAGAAAACAAATTAAACATGAACTAACATACAAGAAAACTATACAGGCTTCTGAAGGCAAGCAGAAAACTCCATCAGTTTGCCAAGTCTCAACGAATCCCCAGTTCATGTTTAAGGTAAGGAGGCTTTCTGCAGTTACTCCAGACTCATCACCACAGAGGACTGGTTCAAAGAATGCAGGGGGATGTTCAAGAGGGAAAAAAAAAATCTCAACTGACGTCTTCTACAGACAAGAGCATCTTTCTGGGCACAGAGATACCTGTCATCTCCCTTTGGCAGCACTAGCCTTCCCTGAGCCTTATCCTGCCAAGGGGAGAGCCAGCGTGGGCACAAGTGTACTTTTTTAGGATGGCTGTCCTCACTTGCACAAAAACCACCTGCATAGACTATGTATAGAGTGTGAGTAAGTTTAAGAGTACAATCCAGTTCAAATGACTGAAGTTCTGATGATGTTCCCAAACTGGTGTTTGTTACTGGCCTTCCCTGTGCCAGCAGCTGTACGGACACTGTGGTCGCTGCAGAAGAATCCCCAGCCTCAGGCAGCAGCCCTGTAACCAAACAGGGGTTATCACACATTGCCCTTCCTCTTGACCACTCCCTCCTGGGTTCAAACTTTGGCATTTGTATCCTTCCCAGACATACTCACACTTCACACACTGGATTGCATGGATTCCATGGATTGCAGTGTGTTACCTGCTCCATGCTCTGCTGTCCGAGCCATCTGTGCTCTGCAGGCCATTAAACACAATATTTGATAGGTATGTTGGAAAAGAGAAATATCTAATTCCTCCTGAAAAAAAGATCAACACCCATTTCTCTAAGAGCTATGCTGATTAAAATCTGTCTGAATCCTGATATATGGCTAATGCTTGAATCAAAAATTCTGAAGGTACTGAACATAATGGAAAAGGTTTTTCATCTTGTTGCATCAACACAATTAGTTACCCACCCTGTGGATATAAGTAACTTCTATCTTCTTCTGTAGAATAATATTTGAAAAACATTCTTAAATTGAAGGCTGATTTTCCTCTGAAAATCAAATAGAAGGAGCACAGACATTCAGACAAAGTGTTATATTTATATATAGGTAAGGTAAGAAAAAAATAAAATTAAGGATCATTGAAAATCTCCACAGAAATAGTCTCTGACCATCTCAGGCCTTAATAAGAAATATTATATATAAAATGTATCTTTTATTCTAGAAGAATTTCCTTTATGACTATGAAGAAAATATTTAAAAGTCTTAAAAAGTAACTTGATGATGGAAAAAAATGTTGTATCCTCGTTTTCCTCCATTTGTGAGGATATAATTCCAGGTCTAATGAAAGTCCTTAATACTGACTTTCATAATACAGTGGAAACCAAATTACATTATTTTGTATTGTGATTACATGTACTAAAGAAACTAAGCCTGAAATTAGAATCCTTGTGCACTTTCAAGAAAATAGTTTTTTATTTTGCAGGTATTTTTTTTTCCTAAAATATACAACTTCACAGTCACTGAGTCATAAGATATCCCTTGGGACAAATTAACCCCTTACATGAAATAAACCCAGCAAAAATGTGTTCATTGAATCAGGCTTCAGAAACATTTCTAAACTTTAAAAACCACGATGGGAAAATAAAGCAACATTCAGTCATATTTATGGAGCCCATTTATTTCTACAAGTTAACACTGCCTACATTTAAACTTTCAAGTAACGTGGCACAATAGGGGTGAATACATGGGATGAAACAGTCAGAGCTGAAAATCACACACCACACACTCTTCGGGTAGTTCTGCTTTGGATCCCATGCACTCAGTATCTGTCAGTGGAGGAAGGGGTTAGGTGCACTCCTGAAGGGTGCCAGATAATTTATTTCTTTCAGAGAGAATTAGAGTTTGTGTACTCTGAAGACATTCCATGACAACACAGGCCAAACCCTGATAAACAGGGGTGGCAGGAGATGACCTCAAAGACAGAACTCTGACCCAAACATAAGCACTAATTAAACACATCTACTGTCAACACAAAAACCTGTCTCAAAATGTCTACCTAAAAAAAGTTTCAAATAACACTTTTAAGTTACTGCAAACAGAAAACATTTAAAGAAAAAATTGTTTGCAAAATGTTTTCTGTGTCTTAAATTACTGCTCTTTTACATTACTTGCATTTCTCTACTTCTGTGATATTCCACCACAGAGATACAAAAAAGGAAAACATATATAAATTTAAGACATATTACTGTACACCCTTAAAGCAGAGGATATTCTGGATATATACAACACATATACAATACAGTCTCCCTTTACTGTAGTGGTCTGGCAACGAGTTGTGCTTTTCTCCCAATTTCGGAAGTTTAATGCTGCTTAGTTCCATAAAAGCTTTCATGAAACATATGATTTGCTGACAGCAGGCAGCTCAAAAAGTAGTGCATTCAATAGTTAAGTATTATATTCTTAACAGAATGATAACAAACCTTAATCTTAAGGTTGAGTAGTCGTTAACAATATAAAACTGAATTTCTAAGCATTAAAAAATTTCTTTATCTACAACTCTCTTTAAAAAAAGGGCAAAACTTCAGCTCATACTTGAGCCAGAGCTCAGCTCAAAAACAGTTCTGAAGGTGAATTTAATTTGATTTTATCAGTTTTGATGGCTTTTCTCTGTTTCTGCTGAGATAAAACCCCTGCAGGCAGAGCACCTGTTCCTCAGTGTTCCAAAGCCCAGTTAACTGGAGTGTGCTTGAGTGAAAAGCCCACAGATCAGGCGCATATCCTACTCAGATCAACAAATGTGCTGTAGCTTGCCTTATACCTTATTCATAAAAAGGCACTGCATTTATGGCCATGTCTATACCAAGTTCCCACCAGTGACATCTATTTCTGCCTACCAACACTGATATAAAACTTTTAAATTGGGTTTGCCTGACTGATAACTGCAGGACCCTACGCTTCCAGATAGGAAATATTCATACAGCAACAGAGATCACATTCAAATGTTTTGACTGTTTTGAAGGTTATTACTCAAGTTGCTGGATTTCCTGTGTACATGTACACAAAGAAACACTGGTAAAACCAGTAATCATCTCCAGACTGGGAAAAACTTAAACACGCATAAATTTACTGTTCCCATGCTAAAATCTTCCTGCCCCACTGGCAGAAATATTAAGTCTCAAAAGATGTTCCTGTCAGCCATAGTATAAGAGCTCTGGAATGAAGAAATCTTGAACTTGCCACCACAAAGGTGTGAAAACCGCTGTGCTTCATCATCAGTGTGCTGGGGCTTCCAGCAAGACAAGAGAAGTCAAATCAGGCTGCCAAACAGTTTGACAGGAAGAACATATTATGTGAAACTCAGCAGGTTTCTCTCACCCTTTCTCTGGTGAGAGCTGGGAACTCCAGGGACAGCAAGCAGGACACATTCTTCACAGAAGACCCCACTACTACTTACACATCACTTAAACCTGTTTTCAGTGACAAGGCAACGAAAATCCTAGCCTGACGAACCTACAGCTTGTTAAAATAGGACTCTGTAACAAAAGAACTATTGAAGAGACGAGTTCCCTCATAACACAAGTTCTTGCTTTCTACATATAAACCAACCACATTAAAAAATATTTTGCAAAAGCATTGTAAAATACAGTTCTGGTAAGTGACTTGCTCGGTTTCCATCTCGACTGTGACTTGTTCCTCCAGTTTGCAGGATGTTGAGAAGGGGGATAAATCTCCCTGCTCTCTTGATTTCAGGTTGAAATGAAACAGCAAGCCAAAAGCTGTACATGAAGATCACAATTTCTGGTCTTCCTCTGATGGGATGACTTCCAGGAGGATTTGCAATGTTCTGGTTACCCTGTCTGCAAAGATAAAAGCATACACATGGGAAGTTTGGGGATTTTTTGTGGGGGAGATGGGGCAGGCAGAAGCAGACAGGAAACTTAGCTGCTATACAGCCTATTTCCACATATACATATATAATTTAAATTAAATTTTTTTTTCTTTTTAACTATGTTTTCTTTGCCTCTGATCCTAGGCTATGCACATACAATAATAATGGAAAGGTATGGATGTATAATCTTATTCAATAAATGTCTGCAAGCATTTAAAGGCTATCTTTGAAACATGACTACTCTGCACGACAGCTTAGTTTTAACCAATTTGCTGTGCTGAAATAAATGTCTGGGAGAGTTCAAACAAGTTAATTTAGCTGTAGCAAAACCTGCCTAAGCAAAAAGAAAAAATAAAAAAAAAAAACTAAAATTAAAGGAAATAATAATTACAAAGCTTCACAGGTCTAAGAATATCACATATCCAAAGAAACTTCATGCTGTCTTTTTGTCACGCTGGACATTTATTTCCTTCTACTGCTTTTGTTGGTTTTCCTTTTAGGGTAATGATTCATAAATGGCACAGTTAATTTACATACAGAATAGTAAAAGAGCATTCTCTTACTATTCCTTTCACTTGTCACTCTTTTTTAGTAACCTATTTTAAACGAGCAGGAATTGTTGTAAAAGAAAGTTCTGATTTTCCTTGTCTGTTCTTGTAAGACACAGAAATGTCAACACTGACACCAGCGTAAAGCAAGGAGGGTAAAATTGTGCAACTCACAGAAGATATGAACTGAAACCACTTCTCTGACCTCCTGTCTAAGGCAGACTCCACCATCTTTTGCTCTTTTCTCTGGATGTCACCAGTTCAGTGCAAAGCCAGCTTGCCCTTAGACTATAAACTGATAGTGTCAAAGGGGCTGAGAGTCTCCAGGGACTTCATTTTCCTCCCACCTGCCTTCCCTACCCACAGTGGGCATGTCAGAGCTGGGCTGAGCGCAGCTGGGATGAAAGACAGGAGGAAAGCCAGCAGCAGAAAAACAGCAGGGCTTCGCTCCTGCCATCCCACCTCTTCCAAGTTGGAGGCTGAACAAAGGGATAACCAGAATTTTATGAAGCTGAGCAATGGTGTAACAGCTCTTGGAAAAGGGTATGGCAGCAGAGGGAAAGCCTGGGCAACTCTAGAGTGTGTTGTGATTTTAATATCCTGTTCTCCAAAGTGGACAGAGCCACCAGCAGCAAGACATTGCCCACTCCTCCATTTCCATGCAGCAGTTTTGCTCTGTGCTGGGATGAAGCCATAGGGGAGCAGACAAGCTGGCGGTCTTCTTTGCATTTTTTGGTTGCAATGTACTCAGAATAAATCAGTATACAGAGTATTTTCCCCTAAAGAATGTTCCAACCTGTCTCCAGTCAGTATCTCAGAGTACTACCTGGAGTTAAAGGACTAGCTTCACTTTTGTCACAATACAATTTAACGTACTGTGATGGTACACATAACTTCCCCACTCCACTTTAAACCCTAATTTTCCCTTTTAAGAGGAGAATTCACTGAAAATAGGTATCAGGGGACCACCTTCATAAAAAAAAACCAGACCTGGTATCTACATAAGCACCACATAAAGTTTGGGTGAGGAAAGAAAGCAGGAGTTTAATGCATGTATGTAAGACTGGACATGAAATCTGTGACAACAAAATGCTAGGATAATTTCCTGTGTGTCCCATCACAAACTCAACCAAGAGAAGGAAACTGAGCATATCACAGTTTGTCCTGAGTGAGCAAGTGTGATACTCTGGTGTTGCTAAATAACCCTGACAGAGACATTTCGTTATATAAAGAGATCTCATTTCCAGCAAGGGCTCAGGCTATGAAAAAAAAAAGCAGGATTTAACTTTTAAGCTCCCTGTAATTCAATCCACTGAAAAGAAATAGATGTTTTAAATATGAGTCTGAGGTTGGATTTTTGACTGAGGAAGTGCAAATAGAAGCATTCTTGTGCTGATGCCGCATCCTTTTACACACTGATCTGCTTTGTAGTATTTGCTAGGCTTGACTTTTTTCATTTTCACATTAGTTCTGCAAAAAGCAAGAAAGCAGAGGTCAAATGAAGCCTGTACTAGCTGAAAATTATTTGTCCCAGCACATCTGGTGCTACAGCAAAATTTCTTTGGAAAAGGAGAGAACAAAATGTTATTCCAGCTGCAAAATACCGCCCAGAACCTATGGACCCACGAACTGTGAAGTCACCTTTTGTCAAATACAGTAATTTCATATGGAGAATGGGCAATGTAAATGCCATTGAGGGCAGTCAAAACATACAGAAGACATTCAACCTTGGAAGAGGATTCCTTGGGTAACCCATGGGGGACTCTGCTTGTGTAATCAGCCTAAAACCCCTTTCAGAAATGTATGTATCTTCAGGCTGGGTATTTTATCCCGCTACTCATTGTGGCTGTTCAACATCCCTCTCCTCTGATCTTTGCAAAGCCTATTCAGGACACTGAGCCTGATCTTATGTGGGGCTGGTCTGTATCCACGTGTTTTTGCACCAGTGCTGACCTTTGCTTAAACAACACATGTTCCATATAGGGTTAGTGAGGAGCAGTCATCTCTTCCTGCCACAGCACAGCGGGGCAGCTGAACCTGTCAGTTCCTCAACAAGGTGACTTAGCAAATGGGTAAAGCCCTACCCCAGCCTGCCCATGCAGTGATCTGGGCAGATGAAGCAGCCTGGGCACAGTCTTGGTAGCACAGTCCTGTGTGCAAACTAACAGTCTCCCACTCCCCCTCTGGTATTACACAAAATGCTTTGTTGAAATCTAAGGAGATTGTATTCCTCACATTCTTCTTCATCTAGAAAAACTAGTTATCTTCTCAAAGAAAGCTACCTAGTTAATCTGGCAAAAAGCTACCTTTTAAACAACAATACCATTCTTTTGTTTTGTCCCCTACCTCATGTCTGGAATTACACTTTCATGCCTATGTACATCTAATGCATATTGTTTCAAGGTTAGAATATCAAGCTTGCAGCTGGTCAATGACTTTTCTATATCTCACAGAGGTACCTTAAGTGAATTTATCCTCATTCAATGCCTTTAGAAAATGTTCTTAGGCTATACAATGGGGGTCCCTTAACACTCACAAAATAATGCCAGTTTAATGACTCCACACAGAAGGTTTATTGCTTCTTCTGAGGAAAAAGAAAATCTTTTTATTTAACGAGTAAATCTCCTCTCTGCTTCACCCCAAAACTGTCAGCATCAGTTTTCTGCCATTACTGTTCTTATTTTGGGGATAATAATTGCAAAGCAAACAAGCTGTTTCACCCACTGACTGGTTTCTGCTGCTTTCCCCTCTGAGGCAGTACACCGTGCCCATCCATAGGTATGACACAGGCACCAGGCCTCCTTTCTAGGAGGAGAATTTTGTGTTATCTCAAAAGCTAGAAATTATTCACCTTCATTGTCACAGCTGGCAGAAAAATCTTCACATTTATCCAGTCTACCTTAAAGAGAATATTTTTTCTCTTGCCCAAGTAATGTAGTCCAACACTGGCATCCTGTGGCCAAAGATTCAAGTAACTGTATTCCAAAACCTCTGAGACACGATAGAAAACACCAAAAAACTCCTGGGGTTTGATAAAGGAAAATTTCCCAGTCCTAAATGTCAAGACTGAGAAATTATTAACAGACTAAACTCCAACTATTTAATAGAATGTCCTTTTGCATACAATTGCTTTAATTTGCACTGGAGGTTTCTACCCATTCCCAGGACACTGCAAATAATTTATAACTTTATGGATATAAAATTAAGAGTGTGCTAGCCTTAAACTAACATATTTTTCTGTAAATACTTTCTGCCCTATTGTCTATGGACCTCCCAGCATGAATTGAGTGGGAAATTCATAGATTCTACAACAGATAGGATATAATTATGTAACGTATTTATGTAGAGAAATACATATAACTGGTTATAGTGTAATAACATATAGAAACTACTATTTTCTTGTGAGCAGCTCATTTTAAATCATTGCTTAAGACTGCAGCATAGAAGACAATATGCATTTTTGATTCAGCATCTATACAAATAAATTATTTTTAGTTAGAAACTTGCACAGGTTGAGTTATAGTTTTGCAGAAAAAGAGATGTTCTTTTGGTTTTGTTTGATAAAATATCTAGCATTCCTGAAATATTTTGCCAATAGTCTTGTTTCATGTTTTTAAAATTCCCTTCATTTCGGAAACCTATCCACCTGAGTAACAAAAAAAAAAAAAAATAGAGAGAAGAAGGGGTAGCTATAATAAATGATACCGACTTCTAATTGAAATGTTCCAAATAATCCTTCTCTAACACATCAGAACTTCCGCATATGCTTTCAAAAACTTTCAGAAACGGTATACAAACGATTCTCAGTGCGTGAAATAGTACAGACAAATCACAAAAAAGTCATTTGAAGAAGCACAGAAACAATTTCCACAGAAGCATTTCAGGCATGTTATATTTTGCTACCATTTTGTCAGGAGCCACTGCTAAGGACAATATCCCCATAACTAACCTGCCTGAACCTGGCCTATTCCAATACTCCTCAGTGCTTCCAATACTGCTTGGTGCAGGGAGCACCAAGCCCATCCTATCATCACAACTGTTATGCTCGAGGCTCCAAACTGATTCTCCAAGAAGTGCAGAACTGTCTCTATTAGCACAGAACAACGGTCAGGGGAAGGGGTCGGGTGATTTAAAAGGAATTAGATGTTTGCAGGGGAGGGAGAGAGGAAGAGGACAGTGGGAGAAGTGTCAGTCATTTCAAATCAATCACTGGGGAAGAATAGCCTTGCTGTAAAGTAGCTCATTAGTCAGCAGACATTGACTGCAACTGGCAGAGCAGTGCTAGAGCATGTGCTGAAAAGAAACTTGTGTTGTCATCCCCAGCTCATGGCAGCTGAGAGGATTGACCAGAAGGATTTCACAACACAGGGAGAACCCTGAGAAACTCCTGGAGTAAGCATGAAGGAGAGGAGTCCCACCAGGACTTACCTAGGAGCTTTCTGAACCACTTTGGCTTCTTGTCCCATACAATAAAGAGGTAGTAGGCAGGAATGCCAGTCAGGGTTATTGCAAATCCAATCCCTGTGTTCACTGGGTCAGAGTAAAGTGACAGTGCAACCATGAAGAGACAGGTGAAGGAAAACAATGCTGGAATAAATAGAGGAACCTGAAACATAACCACACGAAGAATCATTAGATAACAGGGTCAATGTAAAGTAATGACTAAGGCATTTAATGTTCCATGAAATGTAAATTGGATAAAGCCCAGCACAACAGGACAGTTCTGCAGAGATATGGGTGTCTAGAACATACACACAAAATGCCAGTGACTGCAGAAGCCCAGCCCTGCAGAGCGCTGTGCAGTGAGTACCACAGAAGTCTCTTAATTACACTCTAAAATACTTCAGTGTTTTACATCCTTTAAAACGCAAGGACTGTAAATAAGTTACATTGTAAAAGTCCTTTCTCTAATTCCCCAGCAGATAAGTAAGCAGCTCTAACCACAGTAAAGATTTCCACTTTGATAATTACCCATCAGAAAACGTTTTAAAACACAACCAGGAGCTCAAGTCACCTTTTAAAACTATTAAGAACATATTGATTTTCTTCCTAAGGTAAAAATCAAAATCTAGCAGGAAGAGAGCAAATTAAACACCAATTTGACTAGGATAAAGATATTTGATAGTGTTATGCAACTGATAGCCCCTGAAAAAGCCCTTTCTGACTGTATGACTGATAGCATTATCAGCATCACTGTTGAAAGCACACAAAGTAACAATATCAAATTTATTTACTCAGTTTTCAAGAACACCATTACAATCACTCTGTTAGCACCTCTCTGAAGGAACCGCCTACAGGCATGGCTTATGAGTGTAATGGAGAATTGGAGAATTCCTTGGAGATTGTTCTCTTCCTTTCATGCCTCAAAGCATTACTGTTCCTCTTTAGTGCACTGTCAAAGCATTTTTTCTTTTAATCAAAGCAAAGCAGGTTGTGTCACTGACCTCCTTATTTATAGATATACCTACAAGAATGCAACAGCGCACATTCTTAGCTCTTCACAAAACAGACTTCTTGGCAGCATCTAAACAGAAATATATTCCTCCATTTTTATGATGATGGACATTATCTTTCTGGGTACACAATGGGACAACTTACTTTGTAAGACAGTACTTGAAATAAGCAAGAAGAATGGCAGAATCAAGGCCAAAACAGCTACAGTTCAATGGGCTGGACTATTTAGTATTTTCTTTCTGGGTTCACAATCACTGTGTCTGCAAATCCACTGCAAGTCTCAAATATTATAATGATAGCACTAACCACTCATTTGCACGGAAAATTGGCGTATCTGATATTGGATAGGCAATGACATAAATGTTTTATATTAATGTTTACGCCTGACATGAATTTCGGTAGCAAAATTATTCAGGCCTTTAGCTGAGGAGCTTGCAGGGAAACACTCAGAGAGCATTCAGTGCAACACTATTTTCTTTTAACTCTGCTTTTCTTGAAACAGAGGTTAGCTTGCTACATCAGAAAATGCTCCTTTGCTGTCTGACTGCAGAATGGAGAAAAGGGAGAAGAATTCATGTAAAAGAGTAGAGAGCAGAGGTTACCTTGAAAGGACGAGGCATATCAGGACGTTTATATCTGAGATAAATCAACCCAGCAACTACTAGTCCAATAAAAAGCCACCTGGCAAAACTGAGGAAATTCAGGAGGCTGTAGAGATCCCCGTTGAATAACATTATCATTGTGAGAGGATGCTGAAAAAGAAATAAGAGGGGTTTAGTAGATCAATCTCTATTATTTTACAGCAGTGATGTCAAATTTTTCCACAGGGACAAGCAGCACAGCCTTATGCACACACCTGAGTGCCACAGACTTCAGGCTTGCCTTTGTCATGCAATCGATGTACAGCTGTCCCCTGAGACCATGGTGGATCAATATAGATCTGTCCTGGGTGGCCACACATGGTCAATACAAATGTGTCCCCTGTGACCCAGACAAATATACAGGCACACAGCCCACTGCATCACCCAAATGCTTGAGCATCCTGGGCAGCATTCCCATGGGACCTGACAAGTGTATTAGCCCACTGCAGCTTTATTCGCTCATCACCGATGCAAATAAGAGCAGTTAAATTCTGGTCACGTGTGATCATATGAAAGCAGAGGTTTGTAGGTGTTTTGTGGAAGGAAAAAGGTGACTTTTTGCACATTGTAAATGCAAACATTCCTAAGCAGAAAGAAGCATTCAGCTGTCACTCAGGCAGCAACTGAAGAACAAGGAGAGTGACACCAGAATAAATATGTTTTCTCATCAGAAAGCTGTTCTGAGATACAAGTCGTCTGTGAGGTAGGCAAAAGCTTACGTATAAACGAGTGATGTGTCTTGAGTTAGGTGGTTAGTGTAGCCTACTAGAATCTATTTCAAAGTAATAGCTGGACAAAAAAATGTCCTTGCATTTGAGGATGAAGGAATGAGTCAAATTCCCCATAGCCCTTATTCTTCAGCAATAGGGAAGATTCTGGAGGTGAGAGTATTTAGATTTATAACAAGGCAACAGTTGAAATCAACTGCAGATGCAGTAAAACACTGGGCTAAATCTTTACATAAGGAAAACTAATTTGTATTAATAATCTAGATTCACAGCCTCTCTCTCTTTCCTGTTTTTGAAGAAGTGAAGACAACATGGATTTGAACCAGAAGAATCAATATTTCAAATGTGGGTCTCTGTTTTCCAACCCCTAATGACTTATAAAGTAGTTGGTTCTTTACACACAGACATTAAGCAAACTGCTTCTATGTAAATGCCAAAGGAAATTTTACCACTGAATTATATTGGGCAAGATTTCTTCTCTATAGACTCAGCCCTAAAAGTTTAAAATATCAGTTATAACTAAAATGCAAGTTTTAATGATAATGTAAGTGAAGGAGAGCTATCAAGAAAAAATAAAATAAAGTAGGTTTACAATCAGATTGCATGATTTCTTGGAGTTGCTACACGCACATCTATCGGATACCAGGGCATTGCTGAGGAACACATCTGGTCCAGGTATCTCGGTTTGCAAGACGCAGGTTGAGATGCAGATTGAAATGTAGATTGAGCTCTCGGTGGGAGCCTGAGACAAGAGGCCGTGAATTGCCAACTTTTGGGATAACAAAGGGGACGAAGAGGGTTGACTGCCGGCCAGGTGAATGAACACTGTGAGACACAGCAGGAGCCGGGAACTGCCGACCTTTTGCATAACAAAGGAGATGAAGATGGGGGATGCCAGCGAAGTGGATGAACTCGGAGGGGGGGACAGGAGCCGAAGACTCGGAAGGAAGCGAGAGTTGACTGTGAGGGGGTTCCTTTGTTGGAGTCCCTCCTCAGCGGCACCAGGCTGAGCTGTTCCTGTGCTGCTGGGCCGTGAGTGGCTTTATGGAATGAGACATCTGAGACTCTAATATGGGAAACCTGCGGTCGAACCGGTGAGGAAACCTGGTCTGACTGAGTGGGCTTCGGTTCCAGCAGTTAAAGTCTCCGGTGCTGTGTCACTGCCAGAGAGTCCCGTGAATGGTCAAACCGGGAAATTTCTTTAACATCATCATACGTACATTAACAGACTTCTTAATTCCTAAAAATGTGGGGTGTTTTATTTAACAAGCCTCAAACACGTGCTCAGTTTACCCTCAAGAGCTCTTTCCTTTCTTACAGTGTGTAGACCTTGGCAAGAGAAATAAAATAGGGAAATGCTAAAACACAGATTATTGATGCAGAATATATCCTGCAACTGCTCTATTTGCAATAAGGCAAGATAAAAAATAGCAATCTTTGAAGGAGATCCCTCTTCATATGAGAATTTGACTTTTTCAAAGGAAATCAATGCACTAGTGTAACAGGACCATATACAAAGGCAGAAAATGTCTCTCAGAACAAAAAAAAAAATCATATATTAATACATTTGTGCATTTCATTCCATGGAAAATAGTCAGTCTTTTACCCAAAAGGTATAACTACTTCACCTAAGGAAATAAAATGAAAACTGAATGCTTATGGAAAATTAATTTCATTAAAACTTTTCACCATAATCACATTGCCTAATTTTCAAAATTTGGAAGCCTACGCTTGTATGGCCACATATAAAATTCAACACTTCAGAAGTGAGTTATAGGCAAAAAATGATTTAAACTCCAGTACAAGCATCTGATCTTACTAGCATAGACTCATACATGCATCTTTTGCTGTGGCTGGAACTTCCTAAAGAGGTAGAGGTCTGTCCAGATCCATTACAGTCCACTGAACCCAAACGAGGGGCTGAACATCCATGCTTATGAAAACTGCATGATAAGTGAAAATCTTCCCGGCACTATGCAAACTGAACTTTGAGGTTGGTATTTTGACATTTAGTCCTAACATTTTACCATACAAATCAGTCTGCAATGCAAACACACGGCCAACATTTACCTCTGCTGCTGTTTTAGAAATCAGTATTAGGATTTCCACTAAAACACCAGTAGTTTTCCTTAGACAATTCACAGACTATTTCCCAGGCACATGTTCTCTCATTTTTTAATCACCACTACACTGCACTGCTGAGGGTTCCCCCTCCATTATCTTAGTGCATAATTGTTTGCATTTTTCACTATAAGGTAGTATAAAGACCCTTAAGGGTGTTGTTTCCAGATGCTGGTATTTAGCTGCACTTTCAGTTAACTGAAACCCTTTTTGTTTGTTTAACTGGAATTTGTTTCTCTGAAAGGGAACCAGCTCATCACTAGCAGCTCCTTAGAAATACAGAGCAATAAGGCATGAATTACGTTGCAGGGATAGGCAGTCAAGTGCTCTGACAAGAAAGCAAGGAGGAGATGATAAAATAAGAACAACTCCCAAATCTCATTCCTCTCTTTCCTGTTCTCTGTCCTGCCCAAAAGCCCATGTACACATTAATAAATGAGACTCAAGCAGTGCCCAGATTCTGTTGGAATTCTCCAGAGCAAGTCTGTAATATGAATTCTAGTGCAGGAACATTTGTTTGTATGATTTACCAAAACAATGACAGCTGGCAGAGGAGTGTGCTTGCGGACATGAATCATGGAGAGAATTTCCGGAAGGTGACCCTCGCGGGATGCAACGAAGAACATCCTGGTGGGAAATAAATGTGGACAGACTTTAAATGTGCTCATTACTGTGACTACGCAAAGTGGCTCATGAAAGTCACAGAGCACAGCAGCACTTCTCAGTCTTGTTTGAGGTATTCTGAATGAAAACACTAGCAGGAGAAACCCATATACAGAAATCAAAGTGATCTCTGAATGTGTCCCCTGACTGGCGTTTGGAATTAGTTAATATTTTCTCTCCAGTTTCCCTCCTCCACAGGTAAAAAAGTAGCCATTAATTAAGGGGTATCCTCGGAGGGATTAATTTCCAAACCGTTCAAAGGATTTTAACAATAATACACTAAAGTCAACAGGAACAAAGTGAGAAAAAGCCCCGCACCTAGTAAACAATCAAGTAATTTTGCATATCCTGCTGAAGAAATGAACCCTATTCTCCCTTCCCCTTGCTTGCTTTCTTTTGCTGTGTATCCCAAGCCCTCACCCACAGGAATATCAGTAATGCTCACCTGGAGACCGCAAAAATACCACCATTCATAGATCCAAAGCAGGAGAGAGCAACAAATACTGGTACAGCTAAAGAAAAGTTTCCCATTAGCCGTTCGGCAAAGGTCTGTCAGAGGAGAGAGAAACATACAGTGATTTTTCATAAAACAGGAAAGTAACTGTACTATATTAGCAAATTATTATGGTGTTAATTAAAGTCCTTTTCTGCATCCCTCACTGAAAGCTGCGCTGTGGCCTCTTCTTTTGTGTCACCAGCTGAGCTCTTCCACCTTTACTGCTGAGGATGTCTGGAAGATCACTAGTCGAAGCAACGCTGAGGAGCTGGAATCAGGCCCTAACTTATGTCTTTTTAGACCATTACGACTCTAAAGAAGAAGACCCAGTCTGAATGGATCAAGGTCTGATTTGCATACCTAATTTTTGTTTTTCTACAGCCTTCATTGTACTCAGCTGATGCTACCCAGCGGTATAGTCCATCTCATTAGCAGAAGAGACTTAACTGGAGTTTGGGGTACCACAGGAGACATGCACAATTTTCTTCATGTTTACAAAATGTTTTCTTTCTAAGTCTCCCATTAGCTGCAGAATTTGGTCATTTCTCAAAAGCCATGTCAACCGAAATAACCACAGGCAGTGTCACTACTGGAAAGGAAGTGGAATTTTTTTACTTCCTCATTGTGACTTAGATACCATAAATATAAAAATCGGTATCATCACCACAATTCAGCAAGAACAACCAAAGCAGTATTGCCTAGCCAGGTTGCCTTGCAACTCCTTCCCAAATGAGCTCCCGTATTCACAGCAACCCCCTTCCTAAATACTCAGGACACAGGTTGTGCAGACAGCCTGACTGTCTTGCTACACAAGATAGTTCAGAGCTCCCACTTCCACAAATATCTGTGATTCCTGCTTCCCAGGAGCCGAGCTTACAATTTAGCACTGAATTTTTCAAGCATGTACTCAGCTATAAAATTTAAGTCCTATTGAGTTTGTTATAAATACAGTCCAATGTTATGTTTATAAATGTTATTGATGGTCTTAAGTGCAATCCCAGTCATGAGTCAAAAATCAGACTTATTTCACCAGTAGGCTAATAAGTGGTGCCATACAAAAACCTCATTGGATCTGTCCACCCAATTTTTTCCCCTGGAAAATAAGAATATATCAACAAACACAACTGCAGCAGGGATACAGCTTTGTATTTTTCTTCTGTAACTTACCACTGCTACAGCTTTTGAAAGCAGCAATTCCCCAGCACTGATTGTAGTGAAATAAGCCACGTTTGTTAACACATAGCCAACTGTGACGATAATCATTGAAATGCATATTGCGAGGGGTATGTTTCTGAAATACACAAGGTAGCTCATTATTTTGCAATCTGGTTGCTAGTCCCTGAACATGAAACAAATGACATGAGAAGAAGCCACTAATGATGGTGAATGCACATTTGGTGATCCCAAAATATCATAATTAGAAACCACCAGTAAAAAAAAAATAAACAAAGCTATCTAGACAAAGCAAAGAGGTTTATAATGAAGAGGTGAGAAAACGTTTGAGGGACGAGTCCTTTGGGGACACCGAGAGGCTGTGATCCTTGTGCTTCCCATACAAGAAGTATGGCTCATTTGAGCTGCCTACTCAGACTGACTTGCAAGCTGAACCCAACAGGAAGGCAGAAGGTGTCACTGGCTGAACCAGCAGTAAGGCTGAGATGACAGATACAGGTGATCCAGCTCTCTATCAGGAGGGCAATCACAGTGGCATCTCCAACATACCCACTGGCACTCCATGGCCACTGACCACCTGGAGGCGTTTGACATCCTCCCCTGGATGCCAAAATATCCAGCATCTGAAATTCTGCCCTTTCCTCCTCTGTGCATTTCTTCCCTCGCACACCTTACCATATCCTAGTTCTCTCTCTCACTATTCAGGGGAATATGAGAGCAGAATATGACACAGAAATAGAAACAGCACAAATTTGTACTGTTATCACAGCACAAACAGTATTGAATAGCACAAACCCCCTGATAGCTAAAAGACAGAACAACAACAAACAAATAATAATGCCAAAATTTTATATAGCATGTCCTGCAAGTCAAAAAGAACAGAATTATTCCAATTTTAAAAAACAGGAAGAGAGGCACAGTGAATTTGTCCAAAGCCACACTGCAGGCATACATTTGAGTCAGGAGAAAAAACCAGATGCTTCAAGTATTGCTCTAGTCTCTTTCCACTTAATATTATTGATATCTGCATTACACCAAGAAAAGATTCAGATCTGAAACTAATGTTTGATCCTTTAATGCCAAGCTTAAGAGTTGCAGTATGCAAACTCCCTCACTGCTTCACGTCTGATTCCGTCCAGTTGTCTATATTAAGGCTGCTTTTGAAGGGATAGAGAGGTTGCCATATCTAGAAAACTTCGTTGTGAAGGTCACCCCACCAGGTGGAAGAAAGGAGAGACAGAATTAGGAATTCTGATGTTCCAGAAGAGATCACAAGAACAGCCCTAAAGGACTGTTGTAATCACATCAAAGGAAAAGGTGTTCTGAAAACCAACACAAAGATCCATTCTTTTCTGATCTCAAAGAAACACAGCCTGGTCAGAATTTAAGGATCCTCTTTGCTACCAGTCCTTGTTTCTCAAATAAATCCTTTACATCAGTATGCCTGTAAAGAGCTGAAAAGAAACTCTTTACTGAAACTAAATAAATGCATTTATTTATAAATAAGTAAAGAAGGACAGTATCACTGTTGCACATCTTGCCCACCTTAGAAACCATGGTGTCAAATACTCCCATTAACCCAGACACACAGGTAGGTAAGAGGATCATGCTGTAACATAACACCAAATCTGGGTAGACATCATGATACTGCATTAGCCCATGGCTACCTCATGCACACATCCTCAGGTGAAGAAACTGGAAAAAGGGAAGCCAGTCATCTTGTAGAATTTACTTGTTGATGAAGAAGGAGATAGCAAAGACCAGAGCAAAGAGCCCAGAATGCAGGTGCTGTATTGCTGGAAAACCCACAAAGCTACGGACTCAAGAAATACTGCAGCTCTCTGTCTTGATACTATGGGCAAAAACAGGTTTTGTGGGTCAGTTGTCAGATATTTTGCAACCAGCAAGGTTAAGCTTCTTACCTGACCTGGGTGTAAATTGAATTCAATCCTCTTAGCATCTGATTCAAGGCAGGGATACATGGATGCAAAGCCTCTCAGAACAGTGATTTTAACTATATCTTCTGCATCACAGATGAACGCTTCAACCACCAAGCTATTATATAAATCTGCACTTACTCCAACCTTAAAAAGAATGTTTCCAGCCAAAGATAGCAAATTTGGACTATTTTCACTAACACCATTTAAATGACTGTAATCACATTGTTAAATTTAAAAACTATTTTTGTTCATTCTAACTCTTACCAAACATTCTGTATTCATATCTAATTTAAATCACAGTCTTAATTTCTGATAAAACAAAATAGCAGTTCAAAACTAAGGGGAAAAAGAAAATCATGCTTCCAAACATGACCATTTTCTTAGCACTGAAGGTCCTACCTTGTTATGCTGAAGAGCACTAACTCCCTTGGATAGTCATACCAACAATAAAAAACACACTCAGGAGAAGAATAAAACTCCTAAACAAGACAGAACTAGTCAGCAAGCGCTATTCATTAAAAAGCCTGCAAATCATAACTCAGTGCCTGGAGCATCACAAGGGATGCTGTGACTTCTAAGCTCCTGAGTCCTTGTTTTTGAGGGAAGCGAGCTCCCAGGCTGCACCTCCTTTTGTCTCCTGGCAGGAGCGAGCCTTCAGAGGGCTGTCGTACGCCCGCACAACCCTTCCAAGTGCTGCTTATTAGCCACTGCTTTCAGTGACAGACTTAGACAAAAATAAAAGGCCAGCTTCAAGATTTCAGGGATGAGCAACACAGTACGGTTCATTTCTCACTGACACCTCCACCCGTATTTGGAGTTGGACCTTGAGTCACCCGAGAGCACAGACAGACAGGCACAAACCATATGTAAAACCACTAAGTGAGAGCTTTAACCGCATCTTTTCTATCCATCCAATTTAAGAGGCAGTTCCCAATTTGCAACAGGATCCCATTATCAGACTCTCTGCAATGAACTGCAGTCACTGCGCTGGAATAAAAACTGTAATGCCATTACCAATAAAGATTACCTCCTTTCCTTGGAGGATCACTGTACCAATTCTCTTGGAATATTTTAGATATTCTCCAAGACATCCAAATCTTCTCTGTAAATAAGAAAAACCATACCAAAGTTCTGCTCTCCATTAAATTGCCTCTATTGATGGAGGTTTCACCTTTTCACTTCTACATCCTGTGAATCACACACAACACAGGGTATCAGAACACTGATAAGCCATGTTTCTGATATAATGCAAATTCACAACTGCCTCACAGCTGAGAGATTTGCACTAGAGGGAGACAGAAAATTCAAGAAAAACACATTTTCCACTTTAAGACTGTTTTAAGACTTTGATTCATCGAAGTTAAAGCTTCTGATGAGGAACTTGAACATATCAGTGAGATCTTTCTTAAGGAAAAAATCTTAGAACAAAACAGAAACCTTATCCAACTGATAAAGACCTCAGAATGGTCAATGGCTTAAAAACCATTGCACTGTGTGTGCTCAGATACAGGAGACTGCAATACCTCATTTACTTAAAACATGTCCAGGACTTGAACTTGCATTGAAGTGGCTACTGGCTACTATAGGGCAGTGCTTTCCTTTTGCACTCATCTGAGAGTTAAATCTCAATAGATTTCAAAATCAAGAACAATTCTTTTCAAAACAGCTGTTTGTCTGAATAGACCTTGAGGTGCCAATCATAGAATCATCATAGAATCATAGAATGGTTGAGGTGGAACGGACCTTAAAGATCATCTAGTTCTAATCCCCCTGTCATGGACAAGGACACTTTTCACTAGACCAGGTTGCTCAGGGCCCCATCCAGCCTGGCCTTAATATTAGATCCAAACTTATACAATTATTTGGAAATGTCCTGAGCATTACTGTCAAGATGATATTCAAGCACACTGCTCCTTGGTTAGAAGGGGAAGCTGCTGCCAGGAAAGTCTTTTTGCAATATTCATCTCTTCTCCCAAAGCTTTGAGGAAAACCAGTAACAAAATGAATCTGAGGAAACCTGAATCAGGCAAATATTGACAATATAGTTTAAAAGTCTTTATAAAAGCAGATAAGAGACAATTAGGATAATTTCCATGCATCTGAACGTTGACTAAAATTGAACTGAATCTCTACACCTTTTAAGACTTAGTAGCTATTCCTAGCTACTATTCAAAGCTAAATCTTCCCCTTTTGCCCTATATACAGAGCAACTGTAATGAAGAATTGCAACAGCTTGAGCAAAGAGCACATCTACCTTATGATTCCCAGAAAAAGAGTCACCAAGGAGCCTACCATCACAGAGAAATTCAGCAGTGGGAATATACCTAGCCCATCCTGTGCTATATAGGGCTGAAATGCATTGCCAAGCAATGCTGTATATGGCTTGGAAGCAATTTTCCTTCCTCTAGACCCTGTAAAGGGCCCAAGAGCTAGGGAATACGGTTCAGTTAATCAGGATAACCACTGGGGTTTGGATTTAACCTTCAGCGTTGCAGAATCGTAGATCTTCTGATAATCAGTTCTAGTACATCTCTACCTCCCACAAATATTTTTGAAAGAAAAACACAAAGCAGAGCAAGTAAGAGAAGGGAAAAAGTGAAAAAAAGATAAAAGGAAAAAGAGAAAGAAAGTCAGAGCAAGAACCCAGGGATAAGAGCAACAATGTCAATAAATCAGTTGAACATTCCCAGAAATCTACAGCATATATCCCAGTTTAATGACAACTTTTATAACAACAGTGAGCACTAAGAGTTGTGATCACTGAGGGCTGTTCTTTCTATAAAATGACAAGCACACAATCAAATACACCCCACCAAGCCAGCTGAGTTCACAAGGATGAAACCCACTGTCGCCACATCCTTTGTTGTTTAGAGGCCTTTCCAAAATCTTTTCCTTCCATCCATTTCAAAGCCGAGTTTTTACAGATGCTCACTCCCAGTAAACTGTCCTGGACAAAGCTACACTGGTGGTACCCAGCCAGGATGCATAAATGAGAAGGTCTAAATAAAGCATTTAATTACTGATAAAGTTTGATTGAACTACATCCTTACTGTACCAGGGAAATAGTGGAAGACACTTTCTGTTACATACAAATTTAAAAAGAAAATAGTAAAAAAGGAGAGAGGAGAAGTCCTAATTCCACATGATTTCCAGGCAAGCATTTACTTGGTTTTCATGA